TTAAGTGAAAAACAGCTTGACATTAGGGTCAGAAAATCTGAAGCATTCTGATGAAAATTAATACTATAAACCAGAAGCCTCACTGCATGGACTAAACACAAAAAAAACCCAACAATGCACTGTGAAAAGAAGGAATACAATAAAAATCTGTACCAGAACAAAGTACTCTCCCTCAGCTGCCAGAATGCTATGGAATTTTTCTTGACATTATATCCTGTGACATATGGTTGCCATACTTTTTAGCTTGTAATTTACTCATTCTTTCTTGAAGCTTTGGCCCATTGCATCAATCCCTTCACCAATGAAACTAGAGTAGTCTAAAAGAAAAACAGCCAAGATACATGGGCCAAATATACTGGGGTGCAAATCTATAAAAGTAAGTAGCTCTATTTACCTCAAGTATTATTTAACTTATAAATACATGATTAAAATGTATATATCAAAATATATACATATATATTGCAATTTTTGTATATAAAAACACAAGTTAGTGTGCTTAGATACATGCCAATTAGCCAATAAAATTTTGAATGTGTCAAATTTTTAAACTCTTGAATTTAAGAATATTTGCATAATATCTATCAACCTCATATATATTAAGAATTGACACCAATATTCTTTGTAAACAAGGCAGAGTCCCCCAGACGGATGGACTGGATGTTAATCTCACTCCATTTCCTTTGGCCTTTGATACTAAGGCAGGAAAAAAAAAGAAAAGTAAAAAAAAAAGAGAGAACATGATTCAGTTCTAACTAAAGAAAATTCCCTTAGAAACTCACACAAAGCTAAGAGGGTTGAAGATGTAAGCTAAATTTTAAAAAGATCACTGTCAGAGTCTCTCCATGACCTCCAGATCAAACAAATTCTAGTTACAGAAAAAAGGGTGTATTTCCTAGCCATCCTCCTCGTAAAACTTCAGAGCCTCTTTCTGGTTTGGGTATTATATGCAAATTCTGGACTGAATTAAAGTTTCAAAGATTCAAAGAATTAAAGTTTCTGAATATGCATAATATTTCTAAGAAAGCGTCCTGGAGCGGGGAGTGGTACAAGCCTTTGGAATTTGAGATTTATTGCTTCACATCCCTTGGGACAACTGCTGACACCAGCAACAAAGGAGTTTGTAGCCTTTCAGCTTTGTCATGGCCATCTCCAGCAGCCACAGGCAGACACTACCAAGTGTAACAGCCCAGAGTTGCTAAACTGCAGAAAGCACCAAACAGAATTCTGGCTTCAAATCTGTAATCTTCCTTGCAACTATTCTACTGTGCATTTACAAGATTTGTTTTATTTTAATTACTTTGTGTAAAATAAATAAAAACATGAAAGAAACATACTTACAAGATGTATTGCCAACAATCTTCTGTCCCCAAATATACAGTGATAGCTAGTGGAAGAAGTTAGAATGGCCCAATATGGAATACAGCATAAAAAACACTGACAACTGAAGAAAAGTCCTTCTACATGGTGGATCAAGTTCTTGACTTAGTATTAGCTGCTGAATCTATTTCTGCTGGAATCTAGAATTCAAGAGAACAGTGGAATAATCCCTGAACAAAGCTTTTATCTCAGACATGGTTTAGACCATTTAAGCAATTTTTATATCCATTTATGAACTGCCTGTGACAGAGATGGTCAATATTCAAAAAGGTCAAGGAGTTCTCCAAGATAATGCAACTGCTCAGAAATTCCTTTCCTTCTACTTATCCTTTCTATGTATTGCATTTGTGTCATACATGCCAGAAGTAAAAGAAGGCAGAATTCACTATGGCAAGTTACACTGCATTTGGGAAGTCTGGTATTTCAGTTTCTATGTAAGTTTTGACATTAAAATCTCACTAGCAGATATGAAAGTTTAAATACATTGCTGTCCAGACACATCAGTATTACTTAATACTTAAAAAAAAATATATAGTGTTTTATCTGCTAAGGCTTCTATAGGTATGTTGGGGATAAAAGGGCAACTAAGGAAAACGTAGGCCCTCTCTTAAAGGAAATGGGAGAGGTAGCTACGCAGGATGTGGAGAAGGCTGAGGTTCTCAATGACTTCTTAACATCAGTCTTTTCTGGAAAGTGTTCCAGCCCCATCGCAAAGGCCACAGCAAGTGAAAGCAGAGACTGGGAGAATGAAGCACTGTAGGAGAAGAACAGCTTTGTGACCATCTAAAGAACCTGAAAGTGCACCTGATGGGCTCCATCCAAGGGTCCCGAGGGAGTTGGCAGATGCAGTTGCTAAGCCTCTGCCCATATTTGAGAGGTCCTGGTGGTGTGGTAAGGCTCCTATCGATTGGAAAAAAGGGAACATAGCTCCTATTTTTAAAAAGGGGAAAAAGGAAGACCTGGGGAACTGCAGGCCAGTCAGTCTGACCTCTGTGCCTGGCAAAATCATGGAACAGATCCTCCTAGAAAATCTACTATGGCACATGGAAAATAAGGAGATGATCTGTGACAGCCAACATGGCTTCACTAAGGGCGTATCATACCTGACCAATTTGGTGGCCTTCTGTGACAAGACTACAGAGATGGTGTATAGTGGAAGAGCAACTGACATCATCTACCTGGATTTGTGCAAGGCATTTCCCACGGTCCCACACAACATCCTGGTCTCCAAGCTGACATAACATGGATGTGACAGATAGACCACTTGGTGGCTAAGTAATTGGCTGGATGGCCAGACCAAGAGAGTTGTGGTCACTGGTTCAGTGTCCACGAGGAGGCAAGTGATGAGTGGTGTTCCTCAGGGGTTGGTATTGGGACCAGTGCAGTTCAACATCTTTGTTGGAGAAACGGACAATGGGATTGAGTGTATCCTCAGCAAGTTTGCTGATGATACCAAGCTGTGTGGTGTGGTTGACACCTTAGAGGGAAGGGGTCCTGAGGGACCTTAACAGGCTGGAGAGGTGGGCCAATGCCATCCTCATGAAGTTCAACAAGGCAAAGTGCAAGGTCCTGCACCAGGATCAGCACAACCACAGGCACAAATACAGGCTTGGGGGAGAATGGCTGGAGAGCAGTCCTGAGGAGAAGGACTTGGGGTGGCAGTAGATGAGTAGCTCAACATGAGCCGCCAGTGTGTGCTGGAGCCCTGAGAGCAACTTCATCCTGGGCTGCATCAAAAGAAGTGTGGCCAACAGGGCCAGGGAGGTGATTCTGCCCCTCTACCCCACTCTGGTGAGACCCACCTGGAATACTGCTGTCACAGCTCTGGTGCCATCAGCACAGAAAAGACATAGAGCTGTTGGAGAAGGTCCAGAGAAGGGCCACCAAGATCATCAGAAGGCTGGAGCACCTCTGCTATGAAGACAGGCTGAGAGAGTTGGGGCTGTTCAGCCTGGAGAAGAGAAGGCTCCAGGGAGACCTTATAGCACCTTCTAGTGCTTGAAAGGAAAGCTGGGAAGGGGCTTTTCACCAGACAGGGCAGTGATAGGACAAGGGGTAATGGTTTTAAACTGAAAGAGGGCAGATTTAGGTTAGACATCAGGAAGAAATTCTTCCCCATGAGTGTAGTAAGGAACTGCAATAGGTTGCCCAGGGAGGTTGTGGAAGCTTTGTGCAGCCTGGTCTAGTGAAAGGTGTCCCTCCCTGCTCATAGCAGAGAGGTTGGAACCTGATGATCTTTAAGGTCCCTTCCAACCTTTGCAAAATCTTTGCAAAACTAAGTCATATCTAACATTTATTATACATAACAAAAGCTTACAGGTAACAACCTACTGCAGATAAAAGGCATCACGTGGGGAACAAACAGGCTGTGAACAACTTTCAATCTAAAAGGAGAAGAAACACTAAGTTCAAATGCAAGTGTATGTCGAAAGTTCTGCTTGTTTGCTCAGCTGCTGAAGTACACACACTAAGCATTAGGAAGTCACCAGTAATTATTTGGCTAATGGCTAAATAAGATACTCTGGTGTATGTTAAATAGAAACCCAAAATTCTGTTTTGCACAGTGGAAGAAAGATAACTGTGGTGAATTATTATTCCAACTTTCATTTTAAAGTCTATTTGCAATAAATTAGAACACATTATACATACACTAATAAAGTATTTAAAGTTGAAATTGGAAAATATTTTTACAAAAATATTTCCATGTTAATTCAAATAATCAAATCACATAATTTTATTAATAAAAAATAGAACTGTTGTCCTAGCACACCTCCCAGGGAAGTTAATCACAGGTTTTTGACTGATTTTGATGGAACCAGAACTGGATCCAACCTCCTTTGATTGGAATTAGTCTCATTAGAATTGAGTACAATAATAAATATTGTCAAATTCACAGCTTGGGAAATATAATGTACTCTATATTGTAGAGCTTATTATGATTCCTTCAGTATGTTAATCATCCGCTATACAATTTTGAAGATTAATTGTGATTATGGTAGGCATTTTTACACATTAATAGACAGTGACATATAGACAATAACATATTATAGTTACATACATAATTATACATGGACAACTTTCATTAGTCACTGTTTTAAAACCACAAATGTATACTTTTATACACAAATGTACACGTAATATGGATTAAAATGTTTGCTGACAGAGTGTAATATACATGTGTGCTATTTTATACTTATATATACTATTAGAAAAAAGTTATGCACTGAACCCCCTTTTTTTTACAAATATAAATACTTAGATCATACTACAGTATAAATTACAGCATATAATTTTAAATTTAAACACAGAACAAATAATAACCTTTCAAAATAGAACAACCTCCAAGGTATTGCTATTGGCTATGATATTTCCTGGTTATTTTTAAAATATTCCCTATGATTTTTTACAGAGCATGATACTGTTCCTCCTGAAATAGATTGCTGTTTCCCATTTAATTCAGTGGCCACAGGAACAATTGCTTAATAAAACTAGATAGACTATTCCGCATGCATGATTATTTCACCGTTATCAAATAAAGTAATGATATAATTTTTAAAAGGCAATGGGAAGTAGAGTGACAGAAAGAACAAGAAAGCAAAAAAGATTAGTGAATTCTATCGTACCGATTTCCAAGGTCCCCGATGCCATGAAACATCACCAGGGCAAGAATGCACATTACATTGTGCCATATTAGGTGGCTTGTCTAGAATGTCACAATTTTGATCACCCAACATTTGGCCAGTAGGAAGCTGACAAATCACCAGTCTTGTCTTTATTCCATCTCCACAAGTCTGAGTACACTGAAATACAGAATTTTAAGAGAGTCATCACATACCATTAAACCAAAAATATGTAGCAATAATAAGTACATGTTATTATTTACTATGTTATTTTCATAGTACCTGGACATTCAATTCAAGATAAGGAACATACAGTTTAATCTCATATAAAGAAAACCAATTATATCATCAAAATTTTTTCAAACTACATTTTTATACTGTATCAAGTGATTTACACCACTCGTATTTATGCTACAGTTCTGCATTTGATCAAAGAACAAAGTTTAGATTAACAGAGTGAAACTAATTTTTTTTTAAATAAAAAAATGGTGCTCAGTTCCATTCACAGTCAAGTAATTATGTTCATATTTCTAGGCTTATGGGTAAATGTTTCCCTTCAAAAGTGAAATGATCTTACTTCTCCCCAGTTCCCATAGTTCCATCGTGGGCAGGGTCCAGAATCACAGTGTCTTGACTCTGGAGGTTTTGTTGCCTTATCACAATAGCTAGCACTTCTTCCTTCCTCATCTTGACAAACTACAACTCGACGGTGAAATCCACCTGCACAAGTACTAGAGCACTACCAAAACATGTAAACACATTTATCACCATTGCAGAATTAAAAAATGTAAAATATGTTGGTTAAAAAAAATAAACTTCCTGTTTTTAATGTTAACTTTCAAAACTGAAATTCACAAGTAACTACTGCCATGTAGCAGTACTTTAAAGTTGAAATTAGAGAAAAAGTACATTTTGAATTAAATATATTCTTAATAATAATAATATTTTTTAAAATATATGTACTTTCCTTTTGACCACATCTGTACTGCTATAACATATTCTAGAAATGTTAACATAAATGTTAGGAATAAAAGAATATATATATTTAAAAATTCTTACTGCTCCCCAGGGTCCAGTTCTCCACTGATATCCTCCCACAGAGGGCTGGTTCCGCTGGTTTATATTGTCTTGTGGACGGTGTATTGGAAGGTAACCTATTTCTGGAAAATGGCTTGGATGCTCATGCATTTTTGGAATATGATGATAAACTGGTGGACATGGTGGCATGTTACATTCTTGTTCTTTGGAAGGTTGGCCTTCAGGATCACAGTAATTCTCGTTGATTTGTTGATGATTGTTGGCACAGATAACTTGTCTTGTTACTATTCCACTATCACACGTAACTGTGCACTGACCAAAAATTAACCCAACATTTGTGACAAAACATTGATAATTAATAACCAAAGACATTTCTCTTTACTTTTGACAGTAAGAAGGCTATACTTTGTTTTTTCAAGGGATGCAATTTCATCCAAACTTGCCCAGAATATGAAGTCCCAACTTCTAACCACAGACTTTGGCCAATAAACTAAATAGACACATTAAAAAAACCAAAACATTACAATTAATACTTACCGGGGACCAATTTCCAGCTTGCCACTCTCCACATGGGCTAAAACAGCTTGAAATTTCAGCTGGTCGTGGTAAATGGGCACAGAAAGATTCATCTGCTACTCCTCCATGATCATCTCTACAACTCACATAGCGAGCACGATCACCCTTCCCACAGGATGCAGAGCACTGTCAGAGAACAATCCAAGCTCATCACACTTTAGGAGACCAAAACAAAATCATGCAACACCTAAAACACTAAAATAGCTTAGTATCAGCTTGGCTTTAGAACTAAACACTGAGAACAAATTTCCACCCCACACTGATAAAGCCATGCATTTGGGAAGAAAAGTGAAATATTGATGGATAGCTTAGGCCTTAAGAATTCACATTGGCTTGCAACTGAACTGCACAGCCTTAATTCTTGTGAAGCAATTCAGCTTATCTGAACAGGCAACATCTCAACTACAACATGGAATCCTTGCAAAGGATATGCAAGGATGCAAAGGCAATTTTTTTATTTATTAACAACAGAAACATTAGAGAGTGACTTCCAGAACATTTTAGCTATTACACAGTGATGCAATATCTACATTAATTAATATAATAAAAACTGATATACACAATCCATTTGCCATTCTAGCTGATATTAGCATATAGCATTGAGCTCCTTCTGATGCCTTTATATCTGGCAAGTTCAGAGTGGATTTTGTGATGAGTTTCTGAGTAGCCTCAGCCTATGCACTCTTTAGCTCTACTGAGTTAAAATAGTTGTGAAAAGATATAATTGTGTTATATACTTTGTTACAAACCTCAAAGGATTAAGAGAAATAACATAAGAGACATATTTTTACAAATAATAATAAACTTTTCACACTGCTGTCAAGTAAAACTTTCAACACTAGAAAAATAAAAACTCGTCCATTAAACAAAGTGAGCATAGAAACTATTTTATAATACTTATTTTACAAATTATGTGAAATTAGGCCTTTAAGGACCCCACATTTTTAATATAGCTAATCACATAGAATATTTATATCATATTTTAGAATGAGAGATGTTCTCCATACTCAAAAATTGAGCAATTATTTTAAAAGAACAATTCCCTGCACAGTCTCAATCTCATTAAAGCTATTTTGCTCAGAACCCCAGCTCCTAGAGTCTTTTTTTTTTTTTCCCCAGCTGCATTTGAAGTACACAGAATTTGCTGGGAATGTCTATCTCCTCCTTAAGAAACAGGTTCTTAAAAAAATAATTAGAATCCTTTAAAATTTATCCCAATCAGATTTCATTGTGAAAAAGATATTAATGACAGATTTATGAAAAAATGTGTGAGGGCTGCTCTGAAAGATGTGATCACTATTACTTTACATACTGGGGTCCATGATCCGTATCTCCATTGAGTCATTTTTGCCACATGAACTAGAGGAAGCAATGTAGTCCATAATTTTTTATTTTCTGGACAGGAGGGTAAGTCACATTCCTGTGGGGGTGAGGAAAAAAAAAAAAAGCTTAAAAAAATATGTATTTTGGAAGAGTCAAGTGTAGAGAACACAAACCCAGTTAGGTGCTATTATTAAGCATTATGGCAAACAGTCTCTTCCCTTATCATAGTCTAAATGTTGAAGCTTCCCTCTACCCCAAATAATCAAATCCTTTGGACCCCTTCAATCACATGTCAAGTTTTCAAATCTCCAAATTACTCTTCTTTTACTTAATTCCCTAGGCCAAATTTGAACTTCAGGGAAAAAGCAGGTAGTTTCAGTATTTTTTCTCATTTTCAAACTTGTGTCCTGCAAGTTCCCTTAACGAGTCAACAAACAACAGTTGTATTTAGGTGCTTTTAACTAACAAGTACCATCAACTGAAAAGCATTTTTAAACTTACTTGGTTATCTCTAGGACGAGTAGCAGCATTACATTCCCTGTCATCATCCAAAATAACTCTGTAAGTGCCAGTAACACATTTGACTGCACGCATCTGGTATCCACGTCCACACGTTACAGAACACTGTTAAAGTCAGTAATTACACACACCTGAAATAGCACTATTTATAATCAAATTGAATTTTTAATTACATTTTCTATTTTGAAACTCTGTACAATGAATAGGAATGACTACTGGGCTGGTGTTAACTTTCTTCATGACAGACCATATAGTGCTTAAACAGTATTCATAACACACCAATATTTTGGCTACTGCTGAACACTGGTTGCGCAGCATAAAGGCTGTCTCTTTTCCCCCCTTCTACCTACCCACTGCAGTGAGGCAGACTGGGAGGGAACACAGCCAGGATAGCTGGCCTGATCAAAGGGACAATCCATACTATATAATGTCATGCTCAGGGAGAGTAAGGGGTGCCTTCCAAGGTAATCACTCACTGCAACTGTTAAACGTCTTTTACCTCACTGTAGTTTAACAAGAGCATATTTAAAGAAGGCACCTAAAATTTAGATGACTGAAAATTATTATGACATAAAACTATCCTCTAAATGTTGTGGTTGAAACACAAATACTAGTAAAAACCCCAGTTGTGAATAGCTGCTACCAGAGGGTTTAGTGGAAAAACTGTAATGGAAAGCTCTGCTCCAGTGACAAGGACTGGTAAATTGCTTGTACAAGCTACTCCAGCAAGGCTATTCATAATGATTTTTTATTCAGAAGAATGATACTGTGGGAATGATTATTTAATGGAAAGTCAGCATCTTGTGATCAAAAGATTACTCAAAAGGAATTTGACACATTGTTAGACAACAGTGTGGTTATCTTTAGCATGAAAAAACATTAAATGAGAGAAGTTCACTACAAAAGAAATGTTAATGTTAAAAATACACTTCATTTCTAAGGGTATGTTTATTTAGTGCTTTACTAACAGGTTATATGTAAAAAAAAAAAATCAGCTACAATTCAGTTTTGAGTTCTCACTAACATCCATGAAACACTGAATGATCCAACACTTCTGTTGGTTTGAATAACCTGATCTTATGAAAGCTCCATGAAATGGAGTACTTTATTATTTTTAATTAATTCTCATTTATTTAGTTTAAAAAGTTTCCTTTTCAAATTAATTAACTTTTTTCCAGAATTTTGAAGCCACTCTGGTATACATTAGATTAGCAAGATTACACACAGGGACATATTTTTCAAGAGCACTGTCATATAAAGAGATAGCCCATCCTTTATCACTGAAGGGTGAAACTAAACATAACAACAAAATACTAAGTCTTTTTGTCTCCTGTTATTAGCACATACACTTCTATGAACTGAATTAAAGCTAACATTTAAATATGCCCACACACCTACACATATTCGGTCCTTTACTTGTCTCATTCATCTGAAGGGTTTGCTATCTACATTTTCATTCTTGCAGAGATGTAATACACTCATGTATAAAAGCATCTTTGATATTAAGACTCAGGGTCAAAGATTATTTTAAGCATTGAACTTAGATGTAGACAGTCCTAAATGACAGGTTAGATAGTCAATAGGAGGAAACAAACATATGAATCAATTCAACTAAAGTAACTGCTTAAGATCCAATTAAAATGTTTAAAAGGTACTGGTTTGTGATGACTCATAGGCAGAACTAGAAAACAAGAAGCTAGGAATCCTTCTGTACTCACTGATCCCCAAGGCCCTACTTGCCAAGATGCACATTCATGAAGTTCACATGTTGTTATTGCTTCTGGTCTACCACTTGGATTACAGAAATCGTCTCGCAGTTGTTCATCATTAAGTTGGCACCATACTTGACGATGCTTCATTCCTTTGCCACATGTCACAGGACACTGTAAAATTACTAGTCATCAGGTTTGTAAAGCCAAGAATCTGCATTAATGGTTTCACTTTTTTTTAGTAATGTTAGATTTTAAAGATCACATAAATAACAAAAAGATTCCATTAATGTAATTAGTGCAACAAAACTAGCTATTTTATGAACTCTCTATTTCCTGTAAACACCAACCCAAATGCTAATACAAATAAATGACTGTTAAGTTTCTAAAGTTACAAAAGTATGAGAACAATGTACAGATTATTTAATTCCATCAAACAATACGTGCTTAAAATATGTGTGCAGATAGATCCACTTTCACAGGAAAAATGTTTAAATTATCGATGATTCTTTTATACTCTCTTAATCTATAAGAAACCAGACATAATTCTGTTCCTTAGTTGGCTGGATGGTTCTCGTCACTTCATAAAATAGGAAGGTATGCATATTACTGCAGATAGATTCACTTTAAGTAGCTTAATTACCCATTTTAATGTACAAAACTTCAGAGAGAAGTAACTTCTAGTTGTGTCTAGAAGCTCACATGGCATTTTTACATCTTGGATGTATACCAGCCAAATTCAAGAACCTCTGAATTTTTGTTGTCGGATGCCCCAAAATAGCCAGAACAAAAAAACCCGAACACTTTAAGCAGCTTATTTTAATATCGATGACGAGGGTCAAAGGCCTCGTAATTTTCACATGGTTGATTACCTCGCTCCACTCACTAACAGACCAGCTTGGACATAAGAATTCATTGCAACTCTGTGTTACCACTCTTGGAAGCTCCTGGCATTCTCTGTCAGGAAGATGACGACCCAAATTATTCATACAAAAAGCTTCTCTGGTTCTGACACCTCTTTCACAGCTCCTGGAACACTGCAGTGTGTGGAAGATATTATAAAAAGGAAAAATATGATAAAACCAAGTTAAAATACATTATCTGTCTTAGAGGTGAAAGACATTAATGATTGTGTTAGACAAATGAATCCTACATTTCACTCAGACTGCTAGTATGTTCACATAAGATAAACTGGGCATTTTGTTTAGCAGTTTGAAGATAAAACTCTTTAATGAAGATTAAAGCAGAAATTGTACTTTTTCTTTCTCTCCAAAATACTCTCAGAACTAAATTATTAAGACTGCAAATACAATACAGACTTCTAACCACCAGATCTTCTCTGTTCACCTCCAAAACCAAGCTGCAAACAATTTAGCTACAGTTTCTTACAAAAATGTGAGGAAGTTGCTGAAATAGAAAGATTTATACTAGCTCCTCCTACAATTTTGCATTTGTCAAGCATTATTTTCTTTTGGTTATGTTGAAATAAAAATTTTACACTACGGCTAACCAGGACTATATGGTACAATTATAAGGCTTTGAATTAGTACCTCTGACCATTCTGTGTAGTGCCAACTTGTTAACATACAGTCACCATGGCAGGGCTCTCTGGTTGGTGGTTTCTGCTGATCAACACAGTACTGATCATCCACTGGAGCACTGAGTCCTTTTGAAACCGAGTACTTCATGCAGCGGATCTCTATGGACCGATACCCTGGGCCACACTTGGATGTGCAGTCACTTTTTCCAACATTGTGCCACCTACAAGGATAAACTGTTATGGAAAGCTAACTGTGTTTTAAAAAATAAGACCATGGTAAACAAAGCACTCAGTGAGTGCATCAGGAATTGTCATGTAAATGTAAATAAGCATTTCAGGGAACAGATAAAACCGTAAGATCTATCTCATGACTGGAATTTTCAAAGGAATATAAAAGAATTTGACTTGTAGGAAGGAAAGATGGGAGGGATAAGGGAAGTTGAGATGGGTGAAGGGACAGAGGGTACAGCAATCTGAATTACTTTGTTTCAATCTCTATAAACAAAAATAGGTAAGACCACAATAGCTCCATCAGTGATGAAACTTTTCTTACCTTAATTCACAGTCTGTGTTACATGCCTCAGAGACTTCCGGTACAGTGGGTGTAAGTTCACATCTTTGATCAGACACTACCATGTGATCACTTTTACGTATGCATGTCATTCTTCTTCTTCGAATACCTTGAAAAGGAACCAAAAAAAAAGCAAATAAAAGGCTAAAATAGGAGAGCCTTTTTACATTAATGGATTTCATTAACCATTGAGGTGTTTAACTGAGATACCATACTAACACTAGTTGTTCTATGCAGCACATTCTGTACAAATACGCTGCTTTGTGCAGCTGATTACGTTCCAGGTACAGAGCAACCTTGTCCTAGTCACCTCTGCCATCTCCCAGCTGTACTACAGTGGTCTCATGAGGATATCAACTTTCATAAAATTGCAAAACTGCAACAGTCTGTTGACTCATCAGACTAAGTGTTCCAAATGCATCACATCTGTCCCTTGCTAATTATCAAATTTTCAAGACACCACATTAACTTAGAGGTTGTGATCCTTTTTTTTATAGAAGCAGAAAATTTGATCACAGGATACTGAAAAGAACTGGAGCGCTTGGAGAAGTACTACAGATTGTCTGTTTCTCTAGCACATGAGCATGTCTACAGTCTGACTGAAAACCAGAAGAAATTCACCATCACAGGTCTACAAGCATTTCAAGCACCTGCTAAAAGGAGTATCTGTCAAAAAATCTGTGTAGATACAGTTTATATAGACCCTATAAGGAAAAAAGACAAAAAAGTATATATGAAAGATACTTGACAAATCATTGACTATCTGGCAATAGGACAACGGAAGCCTAATACACATTAGTGGATATACAATACTACTTTCTAAGGATTATTAGACTTGCTTCAACTTTTTTTTTTTAATAAACCATTCCCATGACTAAAGAAGAAACACACAAATGTAGTTTTGAATATAGAATTGCATTGCACAAATACTGAAAATAGCAAAATGAAATTAGAAGCCATTCTGTCCTCAGAGGCTCTGTGCAACTAAAGTTTACAGATTACTAAATTCTTCCTTAAGATTAGTCCCTTCCTCGGTGCCATCAGATCTTTGGTTCTGGTGACAAAAGAATTCACAGTACCTTGGCACATCCTGCTGCAGTCTTGCCAGGGTCCATAAGGATCCCACGTAAACAGATCACTTCCATCTTCTATTGGGACATTGAATGAATAACGTACATCAGGGT